CCATCCCGTACGAGCCGTACCGAGTTTGGCCTTGCCTAGCCCGACAGAAATCCGCTCTCTAGTCATTATCTGTCGAAAAATAAAATATTTTCGAGAGACGTATTTAAATCGAGTTCTTTAACATTCATGTAGTGTGCGATGCATCGATGAATAAAAATTCTGCAAAAAATGTCTGATACGGTTTCGGCGAGAATTTTTTGTTCATTTTTTGTGTTACGCAAAGGAGTTCAGTCGCAGTCGGTTTTGACTTTCTTCAGGGCATGTGTGTGTAAATTAGGTTGTTTAAGTGGTTTATTTTTATTAAAAATAATTTGGTTTCGCTCTTAAAATGAAAGGTGATATTGTGATGTACCCACCAGGATGGAGTATGCAAGGATCGGCGCGGATGGAAAGGAAATCGGGATTTAAAGGGTAAGTGTTGCCTTTAAGCTTTATGTATCGGTCTATTTTTCAATACATTGTGTATGATTTCTTCAGTTCTTTTATTCTAAACTGATATAAAAATATGGATGTTAAGGGAGAAGTAGTTGCATTGTACAAATCGTTACTTACCGTCTTAATAAATACGGAATATCTGATAGGTTTTTATCGGTGTTAATTATTTAAAAACTAAATCCAATTTTGATTTTTATCTCATTATGCAATTGTCGTTGTTGTTTTTTAATTTCAGAATTGTTTTGAAAACAGGTTTGTGTTTAGGACATACATACTAAACTACAACTGAAAGAAGTTCACTAAATCAGCACAACGTTTCAAACAGTCATTTTAACTGAAAACAGTGGTCTTCAATATTTGACTTTATTGGGAAGTTTGAAATTTCGGTTAAATTAACTTTAGATTACTGTTAATTTCTAAACGTAGTGTAGCAGGATTATTTTTATTGAACTTTCATTTCTTGTTTTCTGGACATTCCCCAGTTTATGGAGGGAAAATATTGATTTTCCGTTTCTGTCTATCTGCTTTTTAATAAATTTTTAGGCAAATATTCTCCGAAACACTTTTTTTATATACACAAAAAATTGTGTTTTTGTTGCAGTGTGTTCGTAAATGAAGATGAGGGAATTCGCTAAATTATAGCAGAAGAAGCTTAGAAGGTTAGAATTTTGCATTAATTTTAAATTCAGTGTTTCTTAAATATTTTCTTATCTTTTATCAAGGCTATTTTGATCCGTACTTTTGTCTTATTTTTGTTTTATCAAATATAATATAACAAGTGGTCTGATTTTTTCCGACAAAATTTGTGACACAAATTAACAAGTAGCTGTTGCGACGAAAATCACACGAGTCGACGAAGGAGACGAGTGTGATTTTCCAAAAGCAACAGCTACGAGTTAATTTTCACACAAATTTTGCAGAAAAAATCAGATCACGAGTTATATTCGGCTTGACAATCCAAAGAGAAAATTTTTATTTACTTTTTACGGACAATAATTCACATAATTTATAGTTAGCGTAGTCGTTGAGTAACCATACCTACTTAGTCTAAATAGTAACAAAACAACAAGGCAAAACGTAAATAAATTTTTCCACTAGTAGCATTACAATGGCTAATTGTCGACTTGTCTAGAGGTCTGTAATTTGGAAAATTGTGAACCTTGGTCAATAATGTAAACGTGAAGTTGGCCACCTAATGTGACAACTGTCCACAACTGTCAGAAAAACTGAGACATAACCTGAAAACGATCATTTTGGAAAATTTGCTTTTAAATTATGCCCTGGAATGATTTCCAAACCCTGAATTGATTATAAATTGAGGATAAATTGGTGAAACTAAGTTGATGAAGTTGATGGGAGTGAAAATGAAGTTTACGGGACTGAAACTGAATCATGGTTCCGATTTGGTTTGACTTGATTTGCCGTAGATGAGCTTTGGACGATTTCGGCGATTTTTTTTTTATTGAAGATCGAGCCGTCGTTGTATCCTTCTGCTATGCTGGAGGATTTCCATTCCCCGTGTCGCTTTAACGATAAAAGGTCCATACCTTTTTCAGCCAAATTTGTCGCGGTCGCGTAAGTACGACGGAATGAGGAGGGGTACATGATGGTTCACTTTACAACATTTTTCACACAAAAATTTATTAAAAACGGGAAATATGGAGGAAATTAAAACAAAAGTTCTGGACCATTTCTGGATTGTCAAAAAATAATAAAATTCCAAAGCTTACTAAAATGACGTGAGTACACGTTTTTATTGATGCACTTCAGAAAAAACATTTTGAAAATTCGCAAACCTCAAATGGGCTACTAGTGGAAAAAATAGTATATTAACCACGTTTGTGAAGCCAATTCTAGACCTCGCGCTTTAGAGCCCTCGACGCTGCGCGTCTCAGGTTCTAATTTGCGCTCGGTCTAGAATGTCTGTCTTCACAACCTTAGTTAATAATATACTATTCTAAACATCAAATTTTGTGTGTGCTGCTGGTTGATTTTCTTAATTCTGGGAGCAAGATTTGGTAACAAGACTGTGTATGAAATTCGAAATGCAGTGAAAGAAAGTCAGTGCCGAAAGACCGCAAGAACGCAAGATTCAATTTGGAAGCAGTTTACAGAATTTTGTGAAATACACAAGTTTCCTCTGAATAAAGCAGTCGAAATGAACGAGGTGGCCAGTATTTTGGAAGATTATGACTTTAACGCCAACAGAAAAGTAATTTGTATGTTACATTATCATTTTTTTATTAAAGTTCATTTGACAAGTTTGACAAATTAATTTGACATTTTTTTTTTCGCTGAAAGACAGTGTTGTTGCCTGACAGAAGAATGTTTTTTCACTGAAAAAATTTTTCGGTGAATGCCATTGGACAAATTTCAAACAATTCTGCCATTTTATTGGTTAAGAATTTTCGAGTTGGATTGTCAAAAAAAAAAAATTTTTTATGCACTCTTTTCCTTATATGCCTATGTTCAGACAATTTTATCCGTTCAATTTTTCGTATGTTTTTTTCATTTCTAAGTCGACGGTTTCAAAAACCGCACAAAAATACAAAGATTTAATGAAATTGGAATTGTCAAAGAACGTCCAAAACCTGGCAGACCAAAAACTGCTACAAATGATCAAAATGTCCTTGATGTGCTACCAGACGCAACAGAAAATCCCAAAACGTCAGTGCAACAATTAACGCTGAATCACAATGTTAGTAAAAAATTAATTCAAACAATAATGAAAAAGAAAAAGTTTCACCCATACAAAATCCATTTGGTACAAGAGCTAAACGCAGATGATTTTGACTGTAGAGTTGAACTTGCCGAAATTATTAAGAACAGAATATAAGATGGAAATTTTATCAACAGGATTTTATTTTCTGACGAATCTACGTTTTGTTTAAATGGTCATGTGAACAGACACAACTGCAGGTATTGGTCTGACACAAATCCATACTGGGTGGCGCAAATCCACAACGCCTAGAAAAACTGAATGTTTGGTGCGGTATTATTGGTTACCGTGTAATTGGTTATTTTTTTATTAATGGGAATTTAAATTCTGAGAGACACTTATGGCTGTTGCGGGAACGTGTAGTGCCTAGGCTTAGGGAACTGTTGCCCAATTACCAAAATCCGAAGTTACCAGCAGAAACTATTTTGTTTCAACAAGACGGTGCTCCACCCCATTTTGGACGTCAATTGCGGCAGTAGTTAAATGAAACTTTTCCTAACAGATGGATAGACCGAAGGGGCAGTATTGAATGGCCTGCCAGGTCACCGGATTTGACACCGCTTGACTTTTTTTGTGGGGCTATCTGAAGAATCACGTTTATATCAATAGACCGATGCACACTGAAGACTTACAAAAACGCAAACGTAACGAAATTGTTAGCATTCGTCCAGAAATTCTCATTAACTCACTACAGAATTTTATTCAACGTCTTTTTTACTGCTAGGAAGTAAATGGCGAGCATTTTAAGCATCTTTTGTAGAAAATAGAAGTTTAATTTTGATTTCGGTTGTTATCAGTTAATTTATTTATTGTTTAATATTAATCACAATTCACAATTAATAATTGTTAATTTATTTAATCATTGTTTAATAATTTATTTTGTCATTTCAATCAGAAAGAAAGTATGATTATGGTAAATCAATGAATTCAGAAAAAAAGCTCTATTCAAAAAGGCATTAAATATATGGTAGTGCCATTTAAAAAAAAATCAATTTGGCCTTGCATCTCGAAAACAAATGAAGCAAAAAAAATAGTTTTGACGAATAATTAGAGCACAAGTTCCTATACCCCTGTACCTAATTTCAGTTGATTTGTACAATTGGTTCTGAAGATAATTAACCGCTTACATACTTTCTAGCGACCCTGTATATCAATTTGGATAGATGCAGTACAATACTAATAATTACAGTCCTGTATTCCCAAAATTTCGAGAAAATGGAGTGAGCCGTTCTTGATTTAATCAATAAAATAAATTGCCTCATTTAGTTAAGAATATCGTGCTAACCAAAATTTATCTAATCATCTCCACCAACAATTATATGATGTAAAAATTTCTAATACATTGAATTTGTTTTGATATTTTTCAGGTGCGAGGGAAGTCCTACCTAAATGACTTTAGACCATTTTTTTTTAAATTGGTACTCCACCTTGAGTCTAGTAACTATTCTTACATACGAAAAAATATTCCTAATGTAACATAAAAGCTTAAATTGCCTTGGAATTTGGAACATAAATGGAAATCAACATTCTTAATACATTAAAATAAATGGGTATTTTTTTTAAATTGGCATAAGGTTATGAGACAGAACTTCCCTCGCCCCTATACTATACGTTAAAAAGAATAGACTGAGATACATATTAACATTGTAATACGAATAAAAAGAGAAAGAAAAATGAAAGAGAAAACCATGAAAACTCAGCACGGATTCTTAAAGCACAACGGCAGGATTATGTAACTGTTTTTCAGAATTAAAAAATCGAAAGAAACATTATAGTAATCCGAGATTTCTTTTACAGTAGTAGTATAAATGTGTTATACCCCTTCTTCTCATATTTTTTCACATACCACGGAATACTGCGTCATTGCTGATTGCCTTGACGCTTGTGAATCTGCGGACAGAGAAGTACACTCGGATGCAGTCCCAGGACGGATGATGCTCTTGTTATTGTTGTTTCCAGGCCAGTTAGCTGTAGCTGCCCCATTTCCCAAAACAGGCGACGGTCCAGGTACACACACCACATTATCATCTTTCCGCGTCTGCTTAATATCCGCATAACTGAAATATCAACCAAGAAATAAGACTCTTTCGTTAATGACCGTCATGTAATACCAAAATTTACCTTACGACACGGTTGGTACAGACGATAAATTCAGGCTTCGAATTCCACTGATGGTATGTAATGTAATACCTAGTTTGCAACCAAATCCACTGTTGGCCTTTTGTAAGGAACCTGTAATAGCAGGAGGTGCCCTCTCCTTTTTGCATAAGAGCTTTGTGACCGGATATTATATCATCTAAATCGTCAATATGATAGTAATCATATCCTGAAGTTCCTAATAACTCAAATGGCAAATATCCAATAATTGGAGGAGCTCGGTGGTCTAGAAATAGAAATTTCCATTCTAGACTATGTCTTGAGGTAAATTCGCTTTTACTAGAGTCTACTAATGGCATTTCTTTAATTAAGCGAGGCGTTTGGACTTTACCAGTCCCAACGAAGACTAATCTAAAAGTAAGAATACAATTAACATAAAGTGCTATCTTATGACATTCATTATTTTCAAAATGGATTAGAAAAATCATTAACTATTCCGACAAGCTACAAGAATATTGCTAACTGTATTGTTCCCACTTTTTGTCTTTACCTGCTATACATAATTAACTGTATACCGGGTGTTCAGTTGAACTTTTGTCATTATGGAACTAGATACTATTGCCATAGTTATTACCATAATCGGCGATATAGCTTACCTAGTATCTGCTTCTCCTGAATATCCACTATACCGATTATCACTTTGCACCATATCTTCATCAGATCCTGAAAATAATAAAAATGCTAAAACACCGTTATTTACCATTTCCATTTATGGGGTATCTTATGATTTCCTCATTAGTTAATACAACCTTGTTTGTTTACTGTTAAGTCACGTTCACGTGCATTACGTAATTAGCGTATTTAAATATTCACGTGAAGGAATTAAGACAATTAAGACAAATACCACACAGTCATTGCATTCCAAAATAGCATGAGCTATAATGCATTTATTAATAGTTATTATCTGTCACTTACTAAAATATCCTACAAAATTAACCAGTTCGAAGGAAGGATTTTGCTTGGAGTCTGAATCTCCACGTCGGAGATGGCATGCAAATGAGACTTGACCCTGTTCTTCGGACGGAGTTATTAAAATATTGTAAAGGTAACTATGCTCTTCTTCATTTGCCATGTCGTATATTGTCGTATTAAGAACTTCATTCTGAAATCAATGAAGTCATTATTTCAGTAATTAGAACTAGAATATATAAAGGGTACAACTTACCGGCAAATGTCCTAAAAGCGAGGTAATACTTTCAGAAGCGTAATAGATTTGTCCCGACGCCGAAAATATCATAATAAAACCATCTACAGCTTCTAACACTAAATGCGTAAATTCTTCGTTTGTGAGAAATGTCGGTTTCCAGTCTTCTTGAATTTCATTGACACGAGATCTTACTGCTATTTCTAAAATTAATAAATGTTATAGAAGAAAAAATTATTACTACAGTAAAAAAATGTATCATCACAGGCAATAAAAATAAAATTAATTGTTTTCTGATAACTCGATTTAAGCAATATTTTTTGTCTTTTTTGTTGTTTTAGTTTTCGACATATAAGACTTGTGAGAACTTTAGTTCTAGAAAAACAAATATGATCTCCATAGATAAATATTAATATAAGAAAATTTTGAAATATGGGTGTTCACATTACTAAAATTATAGTTACGATGGTTGACAATTAATTCATTTTCATTTTCATTTAATGAAATCATAAATATTTTTTAAAATAAATATTTCACGTGTAAGTCCTTTAAAACTCTCCTGAGAATTACTTACAACCACGTGAAAAAAATAGTGTAAAATATTCATTTTTCTTTATATAAGAAGGTTCTTTTCCTATTAATTTGTAACTTTGTGATAGTGATATTCGTTAATTTGGAATCCCTACTGTTATTTTTATTTAAAAATTACATGTAACATGAATTCACATTTTTTCTAGAATATTATAACGGCTTATAAAAAGAATAAATTAACACTAGTAGCATCACTTCCATCGGAATGGTTTTGTTTACCTTGAACTTCATGTGGAAATCGAAGTGAACCTAATTCCGTCCACCTTTCTCGTGTTTTGTACGTTTCCTCAATTGAGCTTCTGATGACGACTAACAAACAACGCAGTTTTCGTTCAGGTTATCGGTATTTTTAAAAAATCTTTATATCGCGTGTAATAACCGATAATATTTTTTACTAAATCGTTGAAACTGCTATCTGTCGTGGTTTAAGGAAAAAAAAATTGATGGTATGTACTAATGATAATAAATGTTATTCAACATTTTTCTCTTTGTTTCTTGTGAAACACTCTACGATTATGTATATTTAGTTTAATGTTCAATTATAACACTTTTTTTTTATTTGATTAACGGAGATAAAAGTGACCTTAGAAATTTATTAGAAATTTTTTGGGGTGCATATTAAGTACAAAAACCACTTTTCTTGTTTCTTATGTCTATTTCCAGCTTGACATGTTTGAGATGTATAACATCCATCATCAGACGCAGTTGTCAAAATTTAAGAATAGAAAATTAATTGTTAATTATTAATTTACCAAAAAGTCAAATGAAGCGCCACATTAATAAAATGAATTTCATACCCCAATAAGTGTAAATCATTTATCAACACCCTTATTAAACAATTTTGGTGAATGATTTATCTAATTCAAGATAAATCTTCTCTTACGACACCAGTGGGACACTCTGTACAAGTAATTTTATCAAAATTACAAATTTGTCTCTAAAAAAGATTCAACAACAAATTTCGCTTATTTACCTACTTGACTTTGCCCATCTTGAAGACTTATAAAATTTAACAAATATTTTTTATCCACATGAAATTTCAGCAAGCAATTAAATTCCAAAGTTTCTTAGTTATACATTTTTGATAACGTTTCCAGCAGTCCTGAATTCTTAAAATTATTCCTTGCAAAGCAATTCAAGCAATAGCATTTTTTACAATTAAATAATACAAAAAATAATTTTAGTGATAAACAGAAAACCTTTACAACGAATGAAACGAGCGTCACTCACTTTATCTTACCATTATGATTTTTTAGAAAAGCTATTGTTGATTTTAGAACCGTTGACTTGTCCATTTTTCTACTTCCTGTTGCTACCATAGAACTTAACTCATTAATTAACATATTGAATTGGTCCCTCCTTTTCTTTTCACTTAAATTTCGAGATTTTCTTTATAAAAAAAATTAAATGTGAGTGAATTATAAACACTTATTTGTCTCCATCTCACCGTTTTGAGTCTTTGTCGTCGGAATCATCATCCATGGTATCACTGAAAGCAAAATTAAATAATTAATATTTGTCATGATTAAACACGTATAATTGTGAATTAATACAGAAAGCTTATTAATTTGTTTGATTACGTATAAAGAGCTTTCGGGATGACAAAATTATATTTTAATCACAACCTGCTATTTGTTATTATAAACTACACTGTACCCATATAATCATTTAAACGTTTCTATTTCTTGAAGCAATGGATACAATATTTAGCTATGAATTAAAAATAAAAACTATTATTATTTCCTAAGTGATTATATTAATTTATAATTACAATGTGTTTATTTGCCAAAGAAAGCTATTTTCTTGATGTAATGTGTAAATAATGCAATTACGTAATTCCCTGATTTAATAATAAAGTAACCGCACCTTAATTATTGTGTATAATTTAAAAGTGTTACTACCGTTAAAATCAGTACGTGTAACCTTGAAATATCTAACATTTCTGTGTAAAAATGTTACACTGCCTCCACTGTCATTGACATCGCGACAACTTTCTATGAAGTTCCGTTATTGCTAGGAAATTGTTATGAGAAAAATAGCGACAATAATGTGGTTGTAATCGAATTATTTAAATGAAAGAAATAAAGCAATGTAAAATTAAAACAGCGAGTAGGTATCTATTTTCAGCAACGAGAATTTTTCAGTCAATTTTGTTTAATGTTTTGTAATTAACATACAAACATATTTTTTGTGCGTGAGTTGCACACCAGATTTTTTTCTATAACTGAATCGAATTTTAGTTTAGGTATAAAATCCAGAAAAGCCTCACGCATTACAACGATGTGTGATAAAGCTCCGAGAAATCTCCTCTACACAAAAAAATTGGTCTAAAGAGTTTAGACAGTACTTCCCTCGCTGTCGGAAACTTGACGACTGCATGCCTATTGTGTTTTTTTTCTCATTACATTTTTGTAGTGGGAATTAAAAAAAAAATTGCGATGACGTCATCAACATTTTTGCAAGGACACGTATATCAGTTGGGATAGATGTAGTGTAATACTAAGAATAAAATTATTATATTCTCAAATTTTCGGAAAAATGAATTGGGTCGTTTGAATATTGATTTGTAATAATCAATAAAATAACGAAACAATTTACTCACGTATACCTACGTATCAGAGGCAACTGAAAATCGTGTATGTATAAACATTCTTAATTTAAGATGACAGGCGTAACAGCATACGTGAGAGCCAAACAGAGAAACTGTAAACAAAACGACCATCGGTTTTATTGCTTCGACTTCCGCTTATTATATAAAACATTGCGTTTTATTTTAATTCTTGACGGTGAAATTCACAATTGGTTGATTATAAACATGTCTATTTCACATTCGCGGAATCAAGTGAACGCATAAAACAAATGCAGGTCTGTAATGTTAAAGTCGATTTTGTGAATTTTAGATACGATTTATTCGGCAAACTTTTGAGCTGACGTCATCAGTTTTTTGTAGAAGATAACCAAATATATTTTGACTAAAAATTTATTATGCTCTTTATAACCTTAAAACATCTGCAAGATTTCAAAGCATTCGGTTTTGTAGTTCCTGATTAAATCAATAAAATAAATTTACGCATTCATTAATTTTTTTGAGTCACCCTGTATATGCAAATCGAAAAAATTTGAATGGAATGATAAATCACAAGAAGAGACTCACCATATTTTGTACATTTTAGATAGGATTTTTTCAGCTAAATTTTGTGGTGACGTCATAAATTTTTTAGGGGGGACGACCAAATACGTTTTGATCAAAAATTTACCATGCTTATGATAATTTTAAAATGTCTTCAAGATTTCGAAGCATTCGGTTTTGTAGTTCCTGAGTAAATCAGTAAAATAAATTTACGCTTTCATTTATTTTCTTGAATCACCCTGTATATGCAAATCCAAAAAATATGAATGGAGTGATAGATCACAAGTACAGACTGATCATATTTTGTACATTTTAGATATGATTTATTCGGCAAATTTTCGAGCTGACGTCATCAAGTTTTTGGAGGGGATAAGCAAATATATTTTGACTAAACATTTATTATGCCCTTTATAATCTTAAAACATCTGCAAGATGTCAGAGCATTCCGTTTTGTAGTTCCTGATTAAATCAATAAAATATATTTACGCATCCATTAATTTTTTTGAGTCACTCTGTATATGCAAATCCAAAAAATATGAATGGAGTGATAAATGACAAGTACAGGCTCATCATATTTTGTACATTTTAGATATGATTTATTCGGCAAACTTTCGAGCTGACGTCATCAAGTTTTTGGAGGGTATAAGCAAATATATTTTGACTAAACATTTATTATGCTCTTTATGACCTTAAAACATCTGCAAGATTTCAGAGCATTCGGTTTTGTAGTTCCTGATTAAATCAATAAAATATATTTACGCATTCATTAATTTTTTTGAGTCACCCTGTATATGCAAATCCAAAAAATATGAATGGAGTGATAGATCACAAGTACAGACTCATCATATTTTGTACATTTTAGATATGATTTATTCCACAAACTTTTGAGCTGACGTCATCAAGTTTTTGGAGGGGATAAGCAAATATTTTTTGACTAAAGATTTATGATGCTCTTTATAGCCTTAAAACATCTGCAACATTTCAAAGCATTCTGGTTAGCAGATTAAAAATTAAATTTCAAAATGTTGTTTTATAATTTTGATTTTTTTTCCAAAAATCTGGACGTTTCGGGTGAAAAGTCGATTCAGAGTTGTAAACTACATGTGTAGGACTATGTTATTTTATACAATTGAAAACCCATTTACTATGTACAATTTTGAAGTGACGTCATCGCATTAGTGGTGGGGATGATTAGACAAATTTTGGTTAGCGTTTTACCATCTACATGATATTCTTAATATAAGTACAAAATTTCACAACAATCGGTCGAGTACTTTCGGAGATTATCTGTCTAATAAAAATCCGGGACAACAGACGGACAGACGGACGGACAGACGGACGGACAGACGGACGGACAGACGGACGGACAGACAGACGGAAATGGGAGACCTATTTCTTCGTCTTCTAGGGGTCATGAAAGATCGAGAAAACGTAAAAGTAGAGAGTCGGCCGACGGACTCGATTACAATACTTCCTTTGCTTACGCTCGGGAAGTAAAAAGAAGGAAAATGGCAGGTCGAAAGATAAAAGTAGTTCAGAAAATATTGGAAATGTTAGGCAGGTAATGGAACAGACCCCTGCAATGTTGAGAAAAATTTAGCACTGTTTCCTCATCGAGTTACTTTGTGCAAACACACATTTGATGACCGACTATAGAACTTTTTCTACAGAGGACGCCTGATTTCATTTGACTGGTTAATCAAATGTTCCTTGTCACTTCACACTTATTTTAAAAAGTGTGCGCCGTTTTTGGTTTTACATTGTCATTTAATGACATTGATCACTGTGGTTTAATCACCGACATGCTAAATCCTTTCCACGGATTACTCGATTACAAATTATGTTGAAGATTTTTTTTAATCTTCCAAATTTTTTTAATGTACAAATGTAGTTAATAAAAGCAATATTCAAATATTTTACTAAATAAACTGTAAATATCATAATTATTTTGTCTGTTGAGTCTTTTAGTCGGGATACGATAAGGAATATTACTGAAGATTTTCAGTTTTCTTTCAATGACTACATTCCTAATAGGCTTAATATATTTCTATTGAACAATTTGATGCGTAGTTCTTTTTAAGAAGATGTGAATTCGTATATGTATTCCTACATTACTATTACAAGAAAAAAAAGATTTATCCTCTGACAGTTCCCTAAATGCCTGTTTTGTTAAAAAAAGAGCATTAAAATTTTATTTCCTCTTTGAACAACCTATCTGTGCGAGAAAGGGTGTTCAGCATACACTTACCTAAAAAATGAATACAGAAACTGATATTAAGGGCGGAACCTGATCTAACACTCAAACTTTCAAACATTGAACCAAATTTTCAATTCCTTTGTTCCCACAAACAAGTACAAATGTCCCAGTGAGGGATTTTCAGTTTAAGTTTTGTTTTCGGCTTTATTAAGATGTAGGTATGTTCTGTTTTAGAGTACTCATTTTATGCTATCACTTTAGCTTTATTTAAATGTTGATCTGTCTATTTTACGATTATGTTTAAGTTTTTTGTTATAATAAACAGAAGCCAATTTTATTGTTTTCTTTACTATTTCGCAGGGGATTCCGCAATTTATTTCGGTTTTTAAAAGGGGCTCGCGAAAAGAAAAAGGTTGGGAACCGCTGCTATGAGCAATATGTTGCCTCTAATCTAAAGTTAATCAAAACGTGCAATGCGTGCTGAAGTTTTTAGAAACAGGTGCTATCACGAAGAAAAGTATGGTCCTTCACTGCAAGCTAAACTCTACAGTCCATAAATATTTTTTGCAGGAATAACATATTAAGTGATATTTAAAAATTTAAATGAGTATCAAAAAATTTGAGATTTATCAAAAAACAGATGGGCCATGATAAATTTTAGTTCAGTCATTTCATGCTACTGTGAGTTCTAAACAGTTCTCATCTAATTATTTTTATTTGCCGCAAATTTATAGATCGCATACGGTTGTTCCAAAATTATTGTATAAAATTATTACTTATTATATATTTCTAACCACTATTGGTTAGACTATAAATTAGAATAAAACAAGATTGAAAACATTTTGATTCAAAGTTAGCTTTAAAAATTCGTGCATTAATCGTGCAATAAATTTTTACCAATTATAAAAAGTTACTGGTCTCAAATTAAAAAACTTTTATTTACATAAAAATCAAGTAAAAACAGATTGCAACATGGAAGAAATTCATTGAAAATGATTTTTCTTTTAATATTTTTTATTAATAATTTATTCGGGATTTTATTCATGTTTAGATTTAAGGAACTCAAAAGAAAATGAAAAAATGGGAGACCAAGTTCAGCACAAATTAGGTCAAAAAATACGCTTTAAATCAGATAATCGTGCAAAAATATATTTTGAAAACG